AAGAAAAAAAATAGCAAATAGTGTGCTTCGATCTGCATTCAAACCCCATAGTTCTTTCTTTGTATATGGATAGCATTTTCCATCATGAGGCCTTTGGAGATGTCTTAGATCCTTGCATTGCTGAGAAGGACTAAGTCTATCAATATTAGTCATTGCACAATGTGGCTGTTAACCGTGTACAACGTTTTCCTGGGTCTGCTCATTTCATTCAGCATCAGACCATACAAGTCTTTCCAGGTTTTCTGAAGTTAGCCTGTTCATCATTTCTTATAGCACAATAGTATTCCATTACATTCATATACCACAACTTGTTCAGGCATTCCCCAGTTGATGGACATCTTCTCAATTTCCAGTTCTTTGCCACCACAAAAAGAATTGCTGTAAATATTTTTGTATATGTGGGTCCTTCTCCCATTTGTATGATCTCTCTGGGATATAGCCCTAGAAGTGCTATTGCTGGGTCAAAGGGTATGCACATTTTTATAGCCCTTTGGGCATAGTTCCAAATTGCTCTCCAAAATGGTTGGATCACACAACTCCACCAACAATGCATTAGTGTTGCAATTTTCCCACATCTTCTCCAACATTTATCATTTTCCTGTTTTGTCATCTTGGCCAATCTGATAGGTGTGGTGTGGTACCTCAGAGTCATTTTGATTTGCATTTCCCTAATCAATAGTGATTTAGAGCATTTTTTCATATGACTATAGATGGCTTTAATTTCTTCCTCTGAAAACTGCCTGTTCATATCCTTTGACCCTTTATCAGTTGGGGAATGACTTGTATTCTTATAAATTTGACTTAATTCTCTATATATTTTAGAAACGAGGCCCTTATTGGAGACATTGACTGTAAAATTCTTTCCCAATTTTCTGCTTTCCTTCTAATCTTGGTTGCGTTGGCTTTGTTTGTGCAAAAACGTATCAATTTAATGTAATCAAAGTTTTTGCTTTTCATAATGTTCTCTATCTCCTGTTTGGTCATGAATTCTTCTGTTCCCATAAATCTGATAGGTAAACTATTCCTTGCTTTCCCAATTTGCTTACAGTATCAATCTTTATATCTAAATCATGAACCCATTTTGACTTTATATTGGCATATGGTATGAGATTCTGCTATACCCTTTTCCAGTTTCCCCAGCAGTTTTTGTCAAAGAGTGAATTCTTATCCCAGAAGCTGGAGTCTTTGGGTTTATCAAATAAATAATAGATTACTATAGTCATTGACTACTGTGTCTTGCATACTTAACCTATTCCAGTGATCTACTACTCTATTTCTTAGCCAGTACCAAGCAGTTTTGAGGATTGCTGCTTTATAATACAGTTTAAGATCTGGAATGACCAGGCCACCTTCCTCTGCATTTCTTTTTATTAGTTCAGTTGATATTCTGGATCTTTTGTTATTCCAAATGAATTTTGTTATTTTTTCTAATTCTATAAAATAATTTTTTGGTAGTTTGATTGGTATGGCACTGAATAAGTATATTAGCTTAGGTAGAATTGTCATTTTTATTATATTAGCTCGGCCTACCCATGAGCAACTGATATTTTTCCAGTTATTTAGATCTGACTTTGTGTGAAAAGTGTTTTGTAATTGTGTTCATATAGTTCCTGGGTTTGTTTTGGTGGGTAGACTCCTTTTTGTCTACAGTAACTTTAAATGGAATTTTTCTTTCTCTTGCTGTTGGGCTTTGTTGGTAATATATGGAAATGCTGATGATTTATGTGGGTTTATTTTATAGCCTGCAACTTTGCTAAAGTTGTTTATTTTTTTCAAGTAGTTTTTTACTTGATTCTCTAGGATTCTCTAAGTATATCATCTGCAAAGAGTGATAGCTTTGTTTCTTCTTTGCCTATTCTAATAACCTTCAATTTCTTTTTCTTCTCTTATTGCCAAAGCTAAAGTTTCCAGTATGATGCTGAACAACAGTGGTGATAATGGACATTCTTGTTTCACCCCCAGTCTTATTGGAAATGCTTCTGGCTTGTCCCCATTATGTATAATGCTTGCTGAAGGTTTTAGGTAGATGCTGTTTATTATTTTAAGGAAAACTCCATTTATTCCTATGCTATCTAGTGTTTTAATAGGAATGGATGTTCTATTATTTTTTAAGTACTTCTACATCCTCCAAACTCCCCACACCCTTTTGTAATTGATCAAGTCATGCTTCATCTTATACCCATTATCTGTCAGCTTTTGGGAACCAGCTTCACCATCAAGTTTTCCTTATTTTTTAAAAGAAATTTTATTTTGATTCAATGGATAGTTTCCAACAGACAACCAAGAAGATCTGTTTATCAGGGCAGCTAGGTGACGCATGGATGGAGCACTGGCCCTGAAGTCAGGAGGATCTGGGTTCAAATGCTGCCTCAGACCAAGAACTTGACGCTTACTAGCTGTGTGACCCTGGGCAAGTCACTTAACCCCAATTGCCCCCCCCCAAAAAAAAATCCACTTATCAAGTGAATTTTCCAGAATAGATTATTGATAGGAGGGCTGTGATCTGTTAACTTGGGTAGAGACACTAACATTAATGGATATGTTTTACCAGACTTATGTTGCCTTTCCACTTTGACTTCATTTATGCTGTTGTAGTCATTGTGTATGTTGTTTTTCCGGATCTGCTTATTTTACTCTGCATTGTTAATAAAGTTTCACATGTTTCTCTGAATTCTGACTATTCTTTTTGGTGCAGCAATGGTCTGTTTAGTTTCTGTACTATGATTTGTTCAGCCATTCCCCAATATTTGGGTACATCTTTTCCCCCCAGCTCTTTGTTATCACAAATAATGTTCATATAGTTGGGGTTGGGGGGGGTCAGTAACCTGCTTGGGAGATATAATTCTAGTGAAACATCTCGGGGTCGACAATTAGTAATAACTTTCAAAGTGTTTTTCAAAAGAGTCGTTATCAATTCATTACTTAACCAAGAGTAAATTAGGATCACAAGAGGTAGTGAAGACTATAGGAGCCATCAAGTTAATTCTCTTCCCCCCGTTTTACAGATGAGGAAACCAAGGCATAACAAGATTATTAAGTGATTTATCCAAGGTTCCACAGGTAGGAAGTGGTAGACAAGTCATACTTAACATGCATCCTAACTGGCCTACTTACCTCTTTACCTTACACGGTATTTCATCTGTTCTGTCATTCATCCCATCTCCCAACTCTTTGCCTCTACACCTTCTGGACTACTCATAGAATCCCTGTCTTCCTTTCAGAGCTCAGCTCGGATAATACTTCTGAAACTAGGCCTGAACTTAGCTTTCTAGCAATCTCCACCCATCCACCCCCAGTTACTTAGTATTTATTCATTTGTATATATACTGTGTCCCTCATGTAGAACATAGGTTTCTTAAGGCAAGGACTGGGTCGTATTTCATATTCACAGTAGAAGGCCATGTAGTAGGCCCTTGATAAATGCTTGTTGAATTGACTAGCATAGAAGTATAAGATGTTAGAATTAGAAAAGGCCCTAAAGATTCTATTAGAGGTCTGAGGACCTCTTTACATTCTTAAAAATAATTGAGGATTTCCAGAGATTTTTTTTTATGTAAGTCATATTTATCAACATTTACTGTATTAAAATTTAAAACATTTTAGTTGTTGTTTAATTATCTCTGAGTATTTATGACCCCGTGACTGTAGCATGCCAGGCCCTTCTATGTTCCACTCTCTCTTGAAGTCTGTCCCAAGTTCACATTTTTTGTTTTCCTGACATTGGATATCTCATCCTCTACTGTCCACTTCTCCTTTTGCCTTCAGTTTTTTCCCAATATTAGGAGCTTCTCCAATGACTCCTGTCTTCTTATTATGTGGCCAGAGCATTTAAACTTCATCTTCAGTATTTGACCTTCCAGTGAATAGTCTGAATTAATTTCAGTGTTGACTGATTTGATCTCCTTGCTGTTCAAGGGACTCTCAAGAGTCTTCTCCAGCACCATGATTCCAAAGCATCGATTCTGCAGCTCTCAGCTTTCCTTATAGAGCAACTCTCACAGCCATATGTTGCTACTGGAAAAACCATAACTTTGACTGTATGGACCTTTATCAGCAAAGTGATATCTCTGCTTTTTCATATGCCATCCAGATTTGCCATAGCTTTTCTTTCAAGGAGTATGCATCTTTTAATTTTATTACTGTAGTTGCCATTTGCAGTAATCTTGGAGCCCAAGAATATAAAATCTGACACTACTTTCATTTCTTCTCCCTCTGCCAGGAAGTGAGAGGGCCAGTTGTCAAGATGTTAAGTTAATGGTGTGGTTTTTTTTTTATGTTAAGCTTCAAGCCAGCTTTTATACTCTCCTCTTTCACCCTCATCAAGAGCCTTCTTAATTCCTCTTCACATTCTACCATCAGAGTGGTATCATCTGTCTATCTAGCCTAAGTATTGTTCAGCATATTCTCACCCTCATGGTCTCCTTTTTCAACATTGAGGACCCACAAATGCCATTAATATGTTAGGCATGTGACTTTGGCTATGTTACATTTCCTTTCTTGATCTTCATTTCTCTGTAATGAGAAAACACGCGAGCTTTGGCGTGTCCCATGTGCTTAACATAATGTGTTAATAGTATCTGCCTCTAACCTTCGACAGTTCAATGATTTATCCAAAAGGCTGGTTGCTAAAAGGAAGGAACATGGCAAGGTATTGCTACTAAGACATAATCCATCTTGTAGACAGTAGAGAGTGGATCGATGCAAAGCCAAAGGATGACTTTGAAGATTGAGAGGGAGGGGGTAAATGTTGGGAGAGGTATCAGGTCCTACAGATTATACTTAAGTTCTGAGCTCCAAAGTATCTACCTCTATAAAATAAGAGGAGTGAACTAGATCTGTAAGGCTTGTTTCATTTCTAGGATTCTATAATTCTGTTTCACTTGGCTACAAATGGCTGTCAGGGATACCCTGAAGTCTTCATTCTAAAAGGGGAAGGTTGGTGGTATCTAGGTGAACTTAATGTTTCTGACTAAATTAGATCCCTACTTGTGGTACTTTAAGCCATAGTAAGCAGTCTTTGGGGAGTCCTAATGGTTTAATTTAATTTTTCCTTGTGAAGATATGGTAATAGTTTCAGTCCAATATTTTCTCACAATTTGTCCTTCTTAGTCGCTTTTTTTCTGTTACCCAGTGTACTAGCCACTGAAAACTTATAAGCACATTTCAGATGCTACCTTGAAGAACCACAGGCCCTTTGAGAGAGACTAGCATCTTATATTGTAAGGTATGAAATAAAAAGGAATTTCTGTTTATTTCATAAGCCACTAGATCTTGATGTAATTTCCCAAATATCTCCTTGCATACAGTAATAACATTTGTATACACGACTATGGAATTGTTTGCGATTCATTTATAAATGGAGTGCTTTATTCAAGGAAGTATTTTATTTCTGAAAAGTTTCATATTTAATTTTAAATGAAAAAGTTTTAAATCTTTAAACAAGAAAAAATGGTCAGTTTTGTTGTACTTGTAAAGCAGTGATGGTATAATGGAGCATTATGGCATTAGCTTATGAGGCAGAAGACTAAATTGTGCCACTTAGTAATAAACCTTATGACCTTGAAGTTAAAGTCTCTAAGATCACTTTTGTTCTAATAATCTTTGAAAGCCTTGAGTAAGTCACTTGACTATCTATCTGTATGTACTCCAGCTTCCTCATCTCATTTCATGATGCTTAGAAATACTTTCCTTGCCACAACCTTGTTGTCAGAAAGAGAGTGAAAGTGTTATTTTCCTCATTTGGACTTTGTTCAGTAGAAGTCCATTGAAAAGTTCTTGACCAGAGGAGTGATTTGGTAAAAAAAAAAAAAAACTATTTTAGAAAGATGAACCTGCCTGGTATTCAGAATAGTTTAGAGAAGAAAGACTATAAAGAAAGTGCCTAGTTAGGATGCTAGTGAAATATGAAAGGAGAGTTGGTTTGGGGGGGGGGGAAGAGAGGAGGAATCTAGTGAGAAAGGACCACGTTGAGATGAAATGAAAAGGTGGAAGAGATGTTATGAAGGAAAAAATAACAAGATGTGTTGCCTGGCTATGAGGGCAAATCCAAAGCTAACTCTGTAGTTAGTAACTATAAAACCTTTCATTTTGTGTGTAAGCTTATCCAAAACTGGTAAAGGGTGATAAATTCTTCCTATTAATGTGATTCAAGAAAACCTTGAAAAGAAGTTGATGGAGCCATTCTGTGCAGTCATTCAGTCAGAAACCACTCATTGAGTGCTTAATTGTATGCCAGGCACTGTGCTAAAGGACTGGGGATACAAAGAAAGATATACAGGAGCTCCAGTTCTCAAGGGGTAAATAAGACTTGTAAATAACTAGATAGAGGGGCAGCTAGGTGGTGCAGTAGATAGAGCACCAGACTTGAAGTCAAGAAGAGCTGAGTTCAAATGTGGCCTCAGACCAAACACTTGACATTTATTAGCTGTGTGACCCTGGGCAAGTCACTTAACCCCAATTGCCTAAAAAAAAAAATTAAAAAACAAAATAACTAGGTAGGACAAGATACATACAAAGCAAGTGGAAGTAATCTTAGCCAGGACTTTATATTTGATCTAGAAGGTAACAGAGAGTGAGAGATGGGGTCTTTGGAGGAGAGATGTGGAGAGATGAGGCAGGTAGAATAATTAAAATGATTACAGTACAGTAGATGAGAGATGATGATGTAAACAGTTAGCTGTGAGGGAAGGGAACATGTAGGAGAGATGTTGTGAAAGGTACAAATCATAATTTTTTTTTAAGGCAGTTGGGGTTAAGTGACTTGCCCAGGGTCACACAGCTAGTAAGTGTTAAGTGTTTGAGGCTGCATTTGAACTCAGGTCCTCCTGACTTCCGGGCCCGGTGCTCTATCCACTGTGCCACTTAGCCGCCCCCAAATCATAATATTTAACAAAAGATTGGGTATGTGGAATGAATGAGGAGTCAGGGATGTCACTGAGGTTGCAAGCTTTGGTGATTAGAACAGTAGAGCCTTGGACAATAATAGGGAAATTCTTCAGAAGGGATAATTTGGGGGGGAAAGGAGTTTTGTTTTAAACATGTTGAGTTTGAGATACCTACAGGATGCCAGATTTGACGTGTCTAAAAGGCAGCTTATAATGCTGGACTGGAATTCAGAAGAGAAGCTTTATATAAATCTGGGAATAATCAGTAAAGATCATCATTCAACTCATAGGAGTTGATCACCAAGTGAAAAAACATGGAGGGAAAAAAGAGGAGGCTCAAGATAAAGCTTTAGGGAGCAGTTGTGGTTAGTAAACATGATACAGATGAAGAAACCAGTGAGAGACTAATAGGCTCATAGGAGGAGAACTAGGAGACGGCAGCATCACAAACCTAGAGGGGCGAGATATACAAGGAGACAGTGATCAATAGTAGCACATGCTACAGAGAAGTAAAGAAAAGAGAAAGGTTGAAAAAAGGTCATTGGTTTTGTTTTGTTTTGTTTTGTTTTGTAAAGGATGTGGGATAATTTTGGAAAGAGAATTTTCAGTTGGATGACGATTATCAGGAGCCAGATTGCAGAGGGTTTAGAGCAGAGTGAGAAGAGGATTGTAGAGAACTTTTGTCGAAAACTTCATTTGTGAAAGGGATGAGAGATACAAGGGATGATAGGATCAAGTGAGGACTTGTTTAAGGGACTTGGATAAATGTTTAATGGGGGAAATTTGGGGAGGGTTTGTAGAAGAAACTAACAGATATGGAGAGATGAAAGATAAGAGCCAGTGGGAGTGTACTGGGAACAATCTGCTGGGAAAAGATGAGAAGTGATGGGTTTTATGATGCAGTATTATATAGCTCCTGTTTCAGCTCCTGAATACTAGGATTCCCATCTCTTCCCCCCTGCTCCCCCCCAAAAAAATCATAGAAGAAAAGCCTGGCCTGTAATTAGTTTCCCTTTAACAAGCCTTTCCTTTTTGATTTGGTATGGTGGAAAGAGTGCTAGACTTGTAACCTGGGTTCAGATTCTAATGGTTTTAATAGCTGTGTGACTGTGGGAAAATCACTTGAATTTTTTAGTTCAGCTTCAGGGGAGGGAGTCAAAAAGACACAAGTAGACAAACCAACCCTTCAAAGAACTTTCATTCTAATTGGTAGAATGAAGGCATTTCTTTGCCATAAGGATAGCTTAAAAATTATATTCTTACATCTGTTCGTTATTGAACATATATATTATGGGCAAGTGACGTAATCCCAGCTGCCTCACAAAAAAAATAAATGAATGAATGAATGAATGAATCACAAGTATTTATTATGGAGCAGCTAGGTGGCACAGTGGATACAACTCTGGCCTTGGAGTCAGGAGGACCTGAGTTCAAATATGACCTCAGACACTTTTTACTAGCTGTGTGACCCTGGGCAAGTCACTTAACCCTGATTGCCTCACCAAAAAGCAAAAAAAAAAGTCAGCCTATTGAAAGAGTCTCCCTTGTTACACAGTCCTTTCATCTAATTCCACTCCTCACACACATGTTGTGCCCTTATCAGTAATTTATTAAGTGCTTTGTATGTGCTATGAATGTTGCCTATGCTAAGATACATAGAAAAATGACACATCCTCTGCTCTAAGCATGCTTATGTTCAGGGTATTGAATTGGGAGGGTAGGGAAGAGACGCTGTAACATCTGTATATAAAGTTAATGCAAAGTAGGTTTTTGAAGGGAAGATACTAATGGTTGAGAGGGAATTAGGAAAGGTTTCATGTAGATAGTGGCACTTGAGCTAAGTCTTCTGGGAAACCAGGCATTCCAGGAAATAAAGGGTAAAGGGAATATATTCTAGGCATGGGGAATCAGCCATTACAAAGACAGCAGAGATGGAGCATCCTAAATGCAGAAAGAATGGCGGGTGGACCAATACTTATGGATTACCAAATGTTAAGAGAGGAGTAATATGTAAGAATTGGAAAAGTAGTAAAAGGTCAGGTTCTGAAGAACTTGAAATGTTAAATAAAGGATTTTATTTTTATATCTTCCAGGTAATGATAGGGACTCATTGGAGTTTGAGTTAGGAATATGGTGTGATCAGACCTGTGCTTTAGAAAAATCACTCCAGCAGCTGTGTGGAGGATTGATTGGAAATTAGGAGGCTCTTGCAGTAGTCCACGTGATTAAGTAGTAAAGGCCTGAATTTGGGTGGTGGTTGTGTGAATGTAGAGCAGAAGTTCTCAAACTTTTTCATCTTAGGAAGCCTCTAGACTTAAAACTATTAACCACCACCCCAAAAATTACTATATTAGAAATTAAAGTATTATGAAAACTTTCATATTAATTTCAGTTCAATAAACCTATCCAATTGATTGGATATATGGGATGAGTTAGGAGTCTAGGTGAAATTGAGGATGCAAACTTGCATCCTCAGTGGATTGGTGGGATGGTGCCCTTAACACAGTGATAAGGAGATTTGAAAGAGAGGTGAACATAATGAATTCAGCATTGGACGTGTTGACTTTGAGATAGCTATTGAATATACAGTTAGAAATCTTCAGTAGTCAGTTGATGATGGGACTACTGAAGTTCAGGAGAGATTAGGGCTAAATATATAGATTTGGGGTAAAAGTTATTCCTGATTTTGGAAGTGGGGGCCAAAACTGGGATTTACAGAACATGAACCCAAGCCTTGGGACATTTTCTGGCAGGCAGGTACATTGCAGTTTATTTATTCACTTAAGTGAGTGACATACTCCATCAGTAGATGATGAACATAAGTGTCTCACAATCTCTCTCTCTCTCTCTCTCTCTCTCTCTCTCTCTCTCTCTCTCTCTCCTCTTGAATAAATAAATAAATGAAGTCAGTTACATTCTCAAATCTACTACAGAAACTTAAGAGGAAACAAAGGAGTAGCTCAAGTTAGGATGTTCTGGAGAGTGTAATTATGTAGAAAAGTAGAGTGCTTAAAAAAGCAGGTGATATTGAACTGTGTGAATAATAGAAGTAAACTCAAGGAGAGAATCAGGACAGGGAAAAGCTACTTTGAATTTGGAGAGTTTGTATTTATAGTAAGCTCCTTACTCAATGCCACAGAGTAAGGCTAACTGACTGCATCTCCCCTTCAGGGTGTGTTAGGGGCAATCCAGAGGAGATATGGGGGCAGCTATGTGGTGTAGTGGCTAGAGCACCAGGCCTGGAGGCAGGAGGACTCACCTTCCTTAGGTTCCTTCACCTAAAATCAGGAAAGAATAGGCACAACAGGTGGAAATAACAGTGCTGTACAATAACATATGG